CACACACACACACACACACACACACACACACACACACACACACACACACACACACACGAAGCGTCATTCATCTACACGCACCAGCACGTAGTGATCGACGACAATGACGGGGATGGCACCCGCAGCCATGATCTGTGAGGAATGAAGGGGGATGACAGGAGATGGAAGGTGGGTGAGACCACAAACAGGCCCGAAATCGTCTGCAACGCACGCACACACACGCACGCACACACACGCACGCACACACACACACACACACGCACACGCACACACACACACACGCACGACACACACACACACACACACACACACACACACACCTCAGTTAGCCTGAAGGAGTGGTAGCCAAACCCTTCGACAATAAGCCCAAACTTGGTCTCCAGCGCCAGCTCCGTGTATGTGTACTTGTTGAACTCTTCTTCTGCCTGCTTACACGAGGGGTCATATCCAACCTTCCCCTCACGACCCATTCGCTCTTCGCCAAACCACCGGCACGCGCACACCAACACAATGTCCCTGCAAACGCACAAACACAGGCGATGTGTGTGCGTGTGTGAGGTGGATCCAGACAGACACACACACAGCACCAAAACCAGCTGACTCCACCACAACACACACACACACACACACACACACACACACAAACACACAAGAACACACAACACATCGCACGCACAGCACGACACACCTGCCGTTGTGCAGCTTTGGGAGGTGGTTGCGCATGGCATCAGAGCGAGCAGACTTCGTGCCCCTGTACAACAGGGAAAGAAGACACACGTCAAGCAGTGGCACCATAACATGGTTGGAGTGAGATTGCAGTGGCTACAAGAAGCGCGAGCGGTGGTGCAGTGAGTGACACCAACCCCTCAAAACCCAGCAGCAGTAAACATCAAACCCCCGCCCCACAGCGCACCACGTCACAACACACATGCATGCACAGACCTGAAGGTGACGAGGTACTTTCTGTTTGCGGGCGGAACGCGCCGCTGCTCCGGTGTGAATGTCACCATGGAGAAGAGTGGCATGGACACATCGAGGCCGTCACGGTGGTGGAATTCACTTAAGCCAACCTGATGCGTGTGATGGTGTAAAACAAGGCATGGTTGGTGGGATGAAAGCAAAATGAGTCGCAAATGATGAGCGCCACCCGAAAGCGCTTCTCTTCCAAAACACAGACACAGACACAGACACAGACACAGACACAGACACAGACACGACACAGACACACACACACACACACAGACGCAGACACACACACACACACACACACGAACGTTGTACCTTGGCGACGATGGCGTGTTCTGCATGCCAGGGGAGACATGGTGCGTCGCTGTACTCAAACAGGATGTGGTTGCGGCCCTCGTTCCAATACGCAAGCCTGCCGTGCATCACATGTGTGTGAGTGTGTGTGAGTGTGTTTGGAGGCAGCCATGAACACGCGCCATCACACACAAGGCGTCGAGATCCATGATCACCACAAAAACAACCACCAGCAACAACAAACCACCGCCTCACCTGGAGAGATTGCGTTCGATGGCTGCGCTCACGGGATGCATTGACTCGATGTTGCCAGAGTACGTGCCATGCATGCAATCTTTCAGCCGCAAGCGCGTATACCCAATTGTGAGATGTCGGTGACGGCTGTGAAAGCCATGTACCAACATTGGCAACACGCACACACACAACATAAACACACACACACACAACACAAACACACACACATATACACGTACACATACACACACTCACACACACACATGCACACGTACACATACACACACTCACACACACATACACGTACACACACACACACACGCACACACACACACACAACACAAACACACAAACACACAGCGCACCTTCACACCAGCACGATACGTCTGTGCTTGGCACGAAGAGGCACGCCTTTGATGGGTCATCGGTGCTGTACGGGCCGTCACGAATGGCGGTTCGGATGGCGCGGTAGATGGCTGGCAGGGCGGCCTCTTCGTCAGTGGTCAGAGGGTACACGTACACCTGTCAAGAGCACGCGCACACACGAACACACAATCACAACACACATGCAGGGGGAGTGAGGCGAGCATGCTTTGATTGCAATTCATGCCACGTCATTGGTGCCAGTGATGATGGTGCGTCACCTTGAACGATGAGCATGTGCGAAGAGGGTCGATGGATGCTGTGCGGTCATCGCTGACATCGGGACCGCCATTGGCGGTGCGATAGTGCAGCGGCGTCTCGGGGCAATGCGTTCTGGTCACAGTGGTGGTTGTGATGATGGTGTTGATTGTGGTGATGATGGTGTGGTGAGGCGCAGGGATGAAAGTGCATAGAAGGAGTGTTGGGAGACACATGTGACGAACCGTTGTTCACACACACACACACACAGTCTTATGTACTCATGCACACGTTTACATTTTCTCATGCACAGACCTGAATTCTTGCACCTCGTACACCTGCTGCTCGATTTGATGCCAGGTGACGTTCTTCTCCTGCTTGAGCTGTTTCCTGCGCAGTTTTGACAGCGGCATCAGGCCGTACTCCTTGATGAAGTTCCTGGTGGCAGTGGTGGTGGTTGATGGCGGCGGTTGTGGTTATCGTGGGAGTGACACGCACACAAACACAATGATGGCGTGGTGTTGATGTGAACGGGAAATCATGAGCATGTGCATCAAGACCTAGCGTCGTCACTCATATCAACGCAACAGCCCCCCCCCACACGCACACCTCTCTGGATCCATGCTTGGGTTTGGGTTGTGGTCCTCGCATCGCTGGTTGACGGCATTTTCGCGCTTCTCAAGCGTCTGCGCATCAGGGAAGAGAGAAGGTAGGGACAACGTGGTGTTCATCACTTGAATGGAGATGAAGTGACGCGTGTGTGGTGGCAGTGAAGCAAGAGAAAGGACCCAGCAATACGCACACATACACACACACACACACAGACTGACCTTCTGTTTCTCTAGGGTGGCCTTGAGGTCCAAGAGTTGTTGGCGGTACTGCGGTGTGAGCTCGCCTGCTTGCTGCAGAATGTCGAGGAGGGGTCCTTTGTCCCATCCGTTGGCATGCACCACCGCTGGCTGTGGATGATAGTGAGACAACAAAGGATGAGGTCAGGTGACTTCGGGAGAGGGTGGAGAAAGCGACAAGCATTACCCAACCACACCACACACATGCAGCCACAGAATGTCGGTTGCTCACAGAGGTGTGCGTGGCCTGGTTGTGGATGCGCCCATCTCGCACAACGACATCGCGTTTGGCGGAACCTGGACATCCAAATGAAGCAGCCGTCATCATGCACATTATGGTACGCATGAGCAGTGTCCCATACTCACAGCGACAACCACACCCACACCCACACACGCGCGCGCACACCCACGCGCGCACACACACACACAACCACACACACACACACACACACACTCTCTCTCTCTCTCTCTGACCGAAGAGCGTCTGGAAAAGAACGGCTTGGTGATCGATGCGAAACGCCTTGTTGTCCAGTACAACCGCCTGTCGTGGCGCGTGCACGAGGGCAAGGATTGAGAGACGTGCGGCAGTGCAATTATAGCAACGCAAGTCACAGCAATGATGAATTCAACAACCAGTCGGCAACACGACTCTGCGGACCTTGATCAGTTCTCCCTGATCATCACAGCAATCAGACTTGTGGTGGATGGCAATCACATCGTTGTACAGATGCAAGATGTATCCAAGATAGCCTGGCAAGCAGGGAGGAGGGGTTGGGCAAATGTGTTGGTAAAGCGCATGCGCGTGTGAGATGCATGGCACAGCTCATCAAACAAGCAAACACACACACACACACACACACACACACACACAACGTACCCATGTACCCTCCGCTGTTTGGATACGGGTAGTGGCCAACGCTGCTTGATGGTGGCATCTCCGTCGCCAGCTCGGGGTTGGGCCAGCAGTTGACCTGGGGCGTGATGGTTGCAGTTGTGCGCATGCAAGGACGTGCGATGTGGGTGTCGGGAACAACCAGTGTCACACATACACACATACACACGCACACACACACGCACACACACACGCACACACACACACACACATATACAAACAGCCGCACCTCGGCACTGACGACCATGGGGGCGTTCATGGATCGGAACGTGTCGATGAGTTCGTCCTCTTCGGCAAACACAAAGCTGTCAAACGAATCCGTGAAGAGAACTGCACAGAGGATGGCAAAGTGACAGCGAGTGATGAGTGATGAGGGGTGAAGTGTGCGAGCGGAGTCCATCAGACATGAGTACGATACCGCCACAACACGCACGCACACACGTCATACGCATACAAACAACTGGTGGTCGCACCCATGTCATAATCGTCCTTGTACTTAAGCAGTGTCTCCCTGACTTTCTTCAGTTTCCAGCCATACCCTGCAGTGTGAGCACAAGAAGAACAGCGGCAACAAAACTGTGAAACAACATCGCGCGCACGCACACGCACACGCACACACACACACACACATATATATATATACGCACACACACACGTAATACGCACACACACACACGCACGCACGCACGCACGCACACACACACACACACACACACACACACACGTAATACGCACACACACACACGTACCCTTGAAGAATTCGCCCTCTCCCGCCACGAGCAGCTTCTTGCCGATGTTGCCAACGCTCTGCTCCGTCAATTCAATAAAGGGTTCCCGATGAGTGGCAACCTGGTCGGCAATTGTTCGCGATTGGTGTTTCCCCGAGTTGAGTGCGTGCGTGGGTAAGTGGGTGAGTTCAGTGAGTGAAGGACTGTTGCTCGAACACAGACACACAAACATACAGGCATACAGACACACAGACACACAAACATACAGACACACAGACACACGCGTCACTCACTGTCATGACGAGAAGCCGCGGCTTCACAATGCCATCATCCCAGTAGCGAGCGTCCCGCATGTCCAGGGAGGTGTCGCCTCGCAAGCGGGCTGTGGTGTAGCGTGCACGTGTGCGTACGGACAGGGATAAGAGCAATCAACACACAGACACACATACACAGAAATAGAAACAGAAACAGCTCCACACACACACACACACACACACATACATTCACACACACATTCACACACGCACACGCACACACACACACACACACACAGGAATACAAGTGTGCACCTGCAATCGGTTCGAAATCAATCTCCGACTTGGCTGCAAGTTTAGCGGCGTAGTCTGCCGGATATTCGCCGTCATCAGGGCCGTGAAACGATGACGTCTGATCGTGTTGTGTCTTGGAGGACGAAGCCACAGGTCGTGGTTGCTGTTCATCCTGCCGCGGTGCGTCCCACTCCACCACAACCGGCTTGGACGTGGACTCTGTGTCAGCCTCCGAATCCACAACACACTCACACTCCTGTCGCAGATCGCAGTGAGAAGCAACAGCAGCAATAACAGCGATGAAGCTTGGTATCGGGAACAAACGCGTGCACGCATGCATCGCGCGCTGGCACATTCACACCAATGCGCATCCACGCGATTTAAACACACACAGACAGGCAGACGCAGATACAGATATACACACACACGCAGACACAGACACAGGCTTGCACAGACACACAGACACACAGACACAAAGGCACACACACACACACACAGACGCAGACACACACACAGGCACGCACAGACACAAGCGCGCTCTCTTTCTCTCGCTTGCTTTGCACTCACTTCACATGTGGTGCGGAAGCCATGGACAACCTTGCCGGTGGTCTTGTGCACCCCAGAAGCGCACAATCCAATGCACTTTGGTCTCTCCTCCGGGCACTGCCATTTACATCACAGCAATTACCACAGGGACCCATGTCCCAAGTCAGCAAAGCGCGAGGCGGAAACAACAAGCACCCTCAGTTCATGCACAGGCACAGCTCCCAGCGCAAACCAGCAGCGCAACGGCATGGCACGCACCAGACACCGGTTGGGCCCGCTTGGAACAGCGCCACGCGCGCTGCAAGGAGTTGCAGCATCAACCTGCCTCTCGCCAGCCAACGCCAACACCATCAGCAGCAGTGGCAGCACTGCCAACACCGCCACCGTCACTGCTGCTGCTGGTGCTTTCCTTCGTCTCCTTGTCGGTGTTGCCCGCAGCGGCACCATCATCATCGCCATCAGCTTTGTTGTCCTGCTTCTTGTTCTTCAACCGTCGCGCCGTTGTTAAACGCGCATCAAATCAAAAATCACCACCATAATCTTTTTTGTTGTGTTTGGCGCCGTTGCAAGAGGACGACGATGTTGTTTGGGCGGCTGGACTGGCTGTGGCACGATGGTGAGTGAGCAGTGGTAGTGGTGCATCGTGTGTGTGTGTGTGTGCGTGCATGTGTGTGCGTGTGTGTGTGTGAATGAATGTGTGTGAATGTGTGAATGAATGTGTGTGAATGTGTGCATCAAATCATGCACGTCTCCCATGTCTCCCCCTCTTCCTCCATCTCCTCTTCCCCTCCTCTCTGGCATTGGTCCATGTGTTCATCAATAATCACACGGTCTGTCGTCGCCTTCGCGTCGCCAGGGCGTGCACCCATCTTCTCCCTCGACACAAGTTGTGACGGGGATCGCCTCGCAACCGCCAGTCAAGGTGCGACCGCCAGCCAGACAGGGTTCCTTGCACGTCTGGTTCTGTTTCTGATGATCAGCCTTGAGCCATCACCTTTTCCGTCTCCGCGCTTGTGTCCTCGTATACTGACCCATACCAACCCCACATCCCGCTTCATGGCATGACGCCGCCCCAACATCCTGACGTTGTGACATACATATGACCACATGTGTCACCTGGTTTCCCCAGATGGGATCCGCTTGTGGCGAGCAAGCTGCATTGGCAGCCCTGATGCGACCAGGAAGCGTGCAGCTCTGTCGTTCATGTCGGCCCATGAAGGTAAGGTAGTGTGAGCTGTGTGCCCCCCCCCCCTTTACCCAGGATTGTCTGCCACAAAAGCACACGCTCAAGTGCCGGCTGCTTTCTGTTTGCGCGCTGCTGTGATCTCATCCACCTCCGCCCTTCGCCTCCGTTTCTCAATCACCCCTCCCCCGGCCCAACCAGGTGGCGTGAATGTTGTTCGCTGGAGCCCGAAAGACCCCATGCTGCTAGCCTCTGGTGGTGTTGACCACACAATCATTCTTTGGACCCAAGGTCAGTGGTGTATGCGTCTGCGTGTGTGTGAGGGTGGTGTGGTGTGTGAGGGTGTGTGGTGTGGTGTGGTGTGTGTGTATGTGTTTGTGAGGGTGTGGTGTGTGTGTATGTGTTTGTGAGGGTGTGTGTGCGTGTGTGAGGGTGTGTGGTGTGGTGTGGTGTGTGTGTGTATGTGTGTGTGTGTGCTCTCATCAGCTCTTGTGCCGCTCTCCATGACGGCACAACAATGTCGTCTGCAGTCCAAACAAAACCCACCAGCACATTCTCACACTCATGAATGCCATGACTTTGTGACACATCGCGCCCACCCTTCGCTTCACCCCGTTTCCACGGCAGAGGACGAGGCGTCGGCGTCCTTTGGAAGTTTGGACGGCCCCAGTGTCGAAGCGTGGCAGCCAGCAGCAACATTGCGCGGGCACACGGAAGGTCAGGGCACTGCTTTTGTGCAAACCAGCAGCTGTTGCTCAACTGAGGGACACGGGTGTCATGAATTCCTTGCTCACATGGCTGTTCGGGCGGTGGCGCTGGTGGGATGTGCTGCGGCAGATGTGCTTGGGCTGGCGTGGTCGCCGGATGGGGACACCCTGGCGTCCTGCGGCGTCGACAACATGGTGCTGGTCTGGTCCACAGACGGCTTGCTGCTCCACCAGCTCTCTGGCCACAACGGCCACGTCAAGGGCCTGGCGTGGGACCCGTGCCTCAAATACCTCGCATCGCAGGTGCACGCACATGCCCATATTTGCGCGGTTATTGTGCATGCGAACATGTGTGTGTGTGTGTGTGTGCGTGTGCGTGTCTCTGTGTGTATGTGTGTATTTATGTGCGTGTATGTGTGTGTGTATTTATGTGCGTGTATGTGTGTGCGTGTATGTGTGTGCGTGTGTGTGTGTGTGCGCGCGCGTGTGTGTGTGTGCGAAAACACGCGGCATCACTCGTTTGTTCCGAATTGCATTTGTTTTTCTGGCTTGTTGGCGCTAAATCACCTCGACTCCAGCAATTCCCAAGCTCATGCTTTGCTTGATGTGCGCGAGTGTGGTGGGCAGGGTGACGATCAAGTCATTGTGTGGAAGACAGACGACTGGACCCCAGCCGCACACATTGACAAGCAGCTGCGCGATGTATGCACTCGTGCTTGTGTGTGTGTGCTTGTGCGTGTGTGTGTGTGTGTGTGTGTGTGTGTGTGGTTGTATTTGCGTGTGTGGTTGCGTGTGGTGGTGTTGTGTGTTGGTGTTGTGTGTGGTTGTGGGTACGTGTGTGCGTGTCTTTGTCTTTCGCTGGCCCTTGTCTGTGTGCATTTAAGGTGTGCACGTCTCACCTCACCGCGTTGCTTTGCCAAGACGACGGGCACGTGCTTGTTCCTCCGTTTGGACTGGTCCACAGATGGCACGTACCTTGTCGCAGGTCTGTGTGTGTGTGTGTGTGTGTGTGTGCGTGTGTGTGTGTGTGTGCGCCATGTGCATATCTCCGTTCTTATTGCATGCCTGCACGTGCGCGTATATGTGTATCTCACCAGTCCTCACCGCTCAACCCCATCCCCCCAAACACACACACACACACACACACACACACACACACACACACACACACACACACACACACACACACACACACACACACACACACACACGTGTTCGCGTGTTCACGACCAGTGAACGGCCGGAACAACGATGTTCCCGTGGCCATCTGCATCGCTCGACAGGTGGGCAGACACCACGCGTGCTGCCTGCGTTGAGTCGCGTGCTTCGGTGTTCGCAGCGTTTGCAGTGTTGACCTTCAGCCTGCCCACCACCTCTCACCTCACCTCATCCCATCTTATCTCATCCCATCTTATATCTCGGCGGTGGCAGGAGATGACACGCGAATTCGATCTCGTCGGACACACGCGCGCCGTCATGTCTGTGGTCGGTCGCCTGTGCTACTGTGCCTTCATTGCACACATGTCATCACACCCTGTCTTGCTTGCATGTGACACCAATGTGCGAGCATACCTCTCATCCTTCAACCACCATCGCCATCTCCAGCGATCATCGCCCGTCATCTACGGCGCTCCCGACACACACGCAACGCGCTCGTGCTTCGCTGTCGCCGGCACAGACGGCACACTCTCGTTCTGGGTACGCAGCAACAAACTTGTGATGGTGTATGTCGTGTACGTGTGCATGTGTGAGCATATGAGCGTGCACATAAGCGTGTGTGCATGTGCGAATTTCTGTGTGTGTAGTGTGTGTGTGTGTGTGTGTGCGCGTGGTGCTTGCGAATGCTCACATACGGGCATAACAACTGAATTTGCTTGTCCACTGCTGCGTGTGCGTGCGTGCAGGTGACGGGTGCCAAGCGCGCGTATGCTGTTGTTCACGCTGTTCTGGAGGGCCACATCGTCGACATTGCATGGGACAAAACAGGTTGGGTACAGCATGAACTGATGCACTTGCACACACACACACACACACACACACACACACACACACACACACACACACACACACACACACACACACACACGCACACACTGAGGTGATCTGCAGTGGCTCAGTTGTAGTGGTGGTGCTGTTGCTCTTGTCATGTCACATGGCTGTTGTTTAAACTGATGTGAGCATAGTACTGCCCATTAGTTCACCCCAACGTGTGCATCTGGTGGTGCTGTGCCAGGAACAACGGTGCTCGCATGCTCTGCTGATGGCGACGTTGCGTGCGTTCGATTCAGCAGCAGCGAAATCGGAACCCCACTCCCCAAAGCAGCGCTCACAAAGTACACACACACACACACACACACACACACACACACACACACACACACACAAGCACACGCACAAGCACACGCACACACACACGCAAGCACACGCACACACACATGTGCATGCATGCGTGGTTGTCTTTGTGCGTGAAGTAAGAGAGTGTCGTACCGCAACACCGCCCATCTCCGCGACCTGTTCACGCATACCACTGCGTTCGTGTCCACTGCCAGGGCGCGTGCTGCCACGACAATGAGTGCCAACGGCGACGGAGGATCGGATCTCGGACTGTTGACGGCAGCGGCTGTTGCACTGCAGCAGAGGAGCAACGGGGAAGCAAGCGCCACCACACCCAGTCACTCGAGCACAGCAGCTGCCACAGCTGTTAGTGGTCAAGGTGGTGGTGTTGATGGCGATCTTGGTGGTGACGACGACGACGGCGACGACGACGACGATGACGATGATGATGATGACGACGATCTGGTGGTGAAGAAGAAGACGAGCCGGAATCTGTCGCGTTTGACGATCACAGATGATGATGACGATGACGATGATGACGGTGCCGCCAATGGCAGCAGCGCAGCAGCTGGGGGTCGTGGCGACGCGCTGGCCAAAGCCATGGCGCGGTCCATGACCACAGGAATGGCCACGGCATCACCGCAGCACACCATCGGCTTCTCTTCGCCGTCGCCAGCGCAAACCACAACCTCGTCAGCGTCATCCACATCAGCATCAGCACGTCGCGCCCCCCAGTCGGGTGAGGCAGCACTGCACGCGCGTGGGCCCGCTTGTTTTGCGTGCGTGTGTGCGTGTGCGTGCGTCTGTGTGTCTGTGTATGCGTGTGTGTAAACGTCAGTAGTAGTTTGAATTCTACATTCAACACAAGTTGGCTTGCAAACTGATTCGTAGCTACTTGCCCCTCTCATGTCCCCCAACCACCATATGTCTGATCGCCATCCACACCTCCACCACCGCCAGCTGCTGGTGTGCAGAAAGAGAGTCGGACGCGGACGGGGCGGCGTCGCATTGCGCCCATCACGCGCCCGTCAGCCGCCATGACGGCTCGAAGGTTTGCTGCGAGCATGAGATGGCTGATGAAAATTGGGCTGTGCGTGGGCTGTGGGCGATTGGGGCAACACCGCGTTGTTGGTGATGCTGTCAACACTGGCACACCGAACCGCACGCTCGTCTCACTCGTTTTGCTGCTTCTTCTGCTGGTCAATTTTCACACTTTCACAGGCGAAGCACGCCCTTTGGCGAGGTGAGCATAGACCCTTTGATGTGCTCCGCACCCAACTTGCACACGAAAACACACACATTCACACACATTCACACGCATGTACATGTGTGCAAACAGGATGAGCCTTATTGCTTCAACTCACTTCCCTTGTCTGTTCCCGCTTGTTCCTGCTCTCTGCTATGCTGCGCATCAGTCGCCGATAAAGCGTGCTCGACACGAATTGCGGCCGCCGCAGGGCTTTGAGCTCGTCGACGCGTCCATATCACTCGGGGCCGCACTCTTCCACCCGAAACACGACACGTCAAAGGTCTGCTCACCACGGCGTGTGTGTGTTTGTGTGTGTATGTGTGTTGTGTGTTGTGTGTGTATGTGTGTTGTGTTTTGTGTGTGTATGTGTGTGCGTGTGTGTGTGTGCATGTGTGTGTCAATGTTGATGCAAATTGTGTGCGCGTGCATGTGTGTTTTTCCCATTGCAGCACACTCACACGCCATCACACACCATCCTCGCCCCAAATCGCCCTTATATCTGTGCAGGTGCTGCCTGCGCTTGGAACGGCGTCGCCTGTGCGCAACACAACGTTCTTCCTCCCGTCCTCGGCAGCGGCAACGAGGACACGGCACATTCGCGTGCAGAACAAGCCGGTGTGATGCACTTGTCAACAGCGAGAGTGCGCGTGTGCATGTTCGTGTGACTCTGTGTGTGTGTGTGCGTGTGTGTGTGTGTGTGTGTGCCTCTGTGTGTGTGTGCGTGTATGTGTAACTTTGTAAGCGTGGGCAATGGTGTAAGGAAAGCGTAAACGGCAACGGTGCATGTCATTCCTTTTCTGTCCATAACAGCTCATTTCATGGCATGCATTGGGTCTGCACTGCAGAAGCGACTTGACGGCTCCCTGGCACTGTATCGCGTCGTGTGCGTGGAGCAACCCCAATCCACACAAGCGGCACCAACAGCGTCATCAACAATATCAACAGCACCAACGGCACCAACGGCAGCAGCAGCAGCAGCCGTGACTTCCTCCACGGGACCTGGCGATGTGAGGGAGGTGTGGAGCGTGCCACTATCGCTGCCGTGTATTGCTGCTGTCGGCAGCGAGCGTCACGTGTGCTGCGCAACAACAGACGGCTGTCTGCACATCTTCTCCGCAGCCACGGGCCTGCGGTGTGTTGATGTGACGTGTGTGGTGCTTGCTGGCGGCTTTTACATTCTCATTGTATGCATATATTTGCATGTGTGCGTGTGTACGTGTGTGTTCATGCTGTTTCGTCTTCTCATCCCAGGCTTTCTCTCCCCTTGTCATTCTCATACTCGTTCGTTGTGATTGCGACCACGCCCACCGCTACACCCGCACGGTTTCCACTCCCTAGGCTGCTTCCTCCCATGTTTGCCGGAAACGGCGTTGCTGTTCTGCGTCTCGCTGGCGATCATCTCCTGGTCATCGACTGTACCGCCCGCCTCTCCGTCTGGTGAGCACAACGCAACGCATCCCAGTTGGGTGTGCAGGCATGCTTTGTGTGATTTCGTTTCTGTTTTGTTTGTTTTTGTTTGTTCCGGTGTTTCGAAGCCGTTGTAGGTCACGCCCGTGTCTTTGGTCTCTGTTTCAGGAACTTGAACAAAGGCTGCATCGTACTCCACGCCATCGACTTGTCAGCATTGTGTGCACGTACGTCACACACACGTAGCTGGCATCTCAGCTGTGAGCCCACAAGCACCCAATAGCACCCATACACACACACACACACACACACACACACACACACACACACGCACACCCAAGAGCACACACACACACACACACACACACGCACACAAGCACCCATTCAAAGGCATGCACGTGCCCAGGTTCACAGGTTGGTTGTGCCACTGTTGCCACGTGTTGTCTTCTTGCATCAGGTGCACGTGCATTGCATCAGGAATTGGTGGACGCGGCGTATTTGGCCTCGGGAACAGCAGTCGTGTTCTTCAAGAACGCACAGGTGAACACGGATGCACCCCGAGATGCTGCGCCATGCCATACGATGGGTGACTCTTGCCTCATCACCCTCTCCAAACACACACACACACACACACACACACACACACACACACACACACACACACACACACACACACACACACACACACACACATCACGCCGCCCTCTTCCCGCTCATCCTCTGACACGTGTGTTTGTGTGTGCTGCATCAGGGCGTGAGCCGCGTGTATGCGTGGCAGCCCGCGCTGGGTGCGTGGGTGCTTGTTGGCGATGCTGGGTCTGTGCTGCACCTCCTGAGCCACCGCCAGAGCCTGCCCGCCACCCCGGACACATCGCACGCCATCGGCAGATTTCGTCCGGCCCTCGCTGTCTCAGATGTGCACGTACGTCACCCATGTCATGATGTCACACTTGCCTGCATGCATTTGTGCAAAGCAAGCTCCTGTAGCTCACCGTGCGTATGCTTGTGACTGTGCGTGTTTGTTTTATGTGTGCATATGTGTCTGTGTCTGTGTGTGTGTGTGTGTGAACAGCGCCGCTTTCGGCGAACGCCAGCGCGTCAGCACTTGAACGCAATCAACGCTGCAACCGCCGCCGATAAGGTGGGCACACATCTGCTGCCAGCACTTGAAGCAGCTCTTCGTGGTTTGCTCGCAGCACAGCAGCAGCAGCAGCCGCAGCAGCCACCGCCGCACTCGCCTATTCCACATTGCCTTTGCTTGCTCCTTTCTTCCTCCTTCCTGCTTCGTCTCTTTCTTGTCCAACTTATGCACACACACACACACACACACACACACACACACACACACACACACACACACACACACACACACACACACACACCACGGCACCACGACACGACCAGGCTGCGGCGACGTGTGAGCACGTGCTCATGTGTTTGGCGGCGGCGAAAGCGCTGGATGCACAGGAGGATTTTGATGCTTTCGTTCTTCAATACGCAAAGTGAGCTGTGGTGTCCCTTGCAGAACGCACAACTTGTCATGCTCACCGCAACAACGATGTGCGCACGAATCATCAGTTCCACGTGTGCTCACTCCCTAGCACGCATGCATGCGTACATCGCACTCCACTCACCCATCCCTCACCACCACCATCATCACCACCATCGCCACCACGACTGCCACCGCTGCTCAGGGCTGCCGTGTCGTCTGGTCCCGGCACGCGTGACTGGAACGCGCTGGGGGTGCTGTGCTCGCATCTGTTTGGCGACGCACCTGCTGCCGACCTGGCAGAGAGCCCGTTTGTTCTCAACAGCGCAGACACGCACGCACGCCACAAGCTCCTGAGAAAGGTATTGGGGGGAGGTTGCGGTGTGATGTGTTGGCGGCCTGTTGTAACGTGGGATGTGTGGTGTGGCGGATTTTGGTGTGGTGGGTGGGTGACATGCCACCAGCTCTGCACATTGAAGCACATGTATGCACTGACCCATGGGGTTGCCACCTGCGCCACATGGCTCTCTTCAGGTGCTGGAGGTGTTTTCGACGACAGCGGCGCTGCAACCGATGGTTGAAGACTACTTTGCGGTGAGCAGACACGTGCAACATGTGCAGGGCACATGTGCAGGGCATGGGTGGAGTGCTCACATGGAGACAATGGCAGCCACGCGTGGAGAAATAGGCCGATTGACACGAGCGATAGACACACACACACACACACACAGAGAGACAGACACACACAGACACAGACACACAGACAACAGACACACACACACAGACACACACACATGCCGGTTTGCTCACTGCGTGTCTGTCCTCCCCCATTCACTGCAGCGCTTGGAGAACAGCGAGACGACGATGAACGGGCACGCAATCACCATCACAGACTAGCTGATATCCTTCTCACTCCTCTCTCCACCTCCCTGCTTCTCGTGTAAACGATGATGATGATGATGATGATGATGATGATGATGATGATGATGATGATGATGATGATTGTACTGTACTTCTTCACTTGTCGTCTCAGTACATAAATACTGGTCTTGTTGTATCGTTTATTGATTGGCCTGCTGCTTGCAGAGGTCTGCGGCGCACACGTCAATCGCATGCACACGCAGAGAATGCTCATCAACCAGAAACAAAGCAGCGATAGCCGTCACACTTAAAACCACGTGTGAACGAGATGCTTGCATGCACGCACGTTCACAGAAACAAGGACAAGATTGGAACGCCATCACAAAGGCACAGGAAGGGGTAACGCATGAAGAGAGAGAGAGAGAGAGAGGGGGCGCCGAGAGCGTGTGCATTGGCGTGTTGGTGCGTGTGTGCGCGCCTTGCTAAGCACATTCACCCCACGCACTCATACACATGCATGCACGCATGCACGCATACCAACACGACACAAGTCAGCAGCAGGGAGTGTGTGGTTGCTCAGTGCTTGTGGTGCCCGTCGTGGTGGTGGTTGTGGGTCTGCTGCTTGTGCTTCTGCGCCCAGGAGTGGAGGATGACCTCCTTCGGGTACGCCGTGCCCTTGAACTCGGGCAGCTTGAAGGCGCGCGTGACGTACGCCTGCGCTTCGGGGGCGTCAGGCGGGATCTTGTACTTCTTCGCGTTCTCCAGCACGGTGAGGGCGTGGTAGAGCTTGGGGATGAGGGCGCAGTCTGCGCGGGTCGGGTGGTCGGCCGACAGCCAGGGGTGCTGGATCGAGTCGAGGTACTCGTGCAGCTCAACCATCACCCGGTCAAACGCTACCTTCTTCTTGCTCTCCTTGTTTGCCTCCTGTGGGTGTGTTTGTGGGGAAGGTGTGTGTGTGTGTGTGGAGCAAGCAACACGACAACGTGTGCGTCAGTGATGATGGAAGACCAAAAGTTCAGCCTATGCACGCAAGCAAGCACTAGCAAACATGCAGGCACACAAGCAAACATGCAGGCACACAAGCATGCATGTACGCGGCTGGCCTCCCAAGCTCAAAAGCACGCACACACACACACACACACACACGCACACACATACACACATGCACACACACGCACACACACATGCACACGCACACAAAGCACACACACACACACATGCACACACCTCGTTGAAGTAGTATTCCTTGAAGACGCTCATGATGTCCTTGCAGACGTCCATGGAGACGTCGGTGCAGGTGAGGTCTGGTTCTGCAGGGGTGTGCTTCTCGAGGTAGTCGATGATGGCCTCAGAGTCGGCCACAACCTTGTCGTCAACCTTGACGACAGGCACAAGCCCGGCAGGCGCCATGTCCATGAACCAGTCAGGCTTGTCCTTCATGTTGATGAAGGTCTCCGTGTGCTCAATGCCCTTGAGCTGCAGCCACATGCACACCTTCTGGCAGAAGGGGCAGTCGCCGCGGCTGTGGCCATCCTCGGCCGCCTGCAGTGTATTTGTGATGTGCATGGGTGGGGTGGCGAGGGTATGTGAGGTTCCGTGGACAACACACAGGTGCAGCAGCATCGTGATGTGGTGATCATAAATGTGTGATGATGAGACGTGATGATGAGACGTGATGACGATCACACCAACAACGCCAAAAGCACAGAGAGAGACAGCAAATACACACACACACACACACAACAGAGGGGCTGCGCTCGAATAGAACAAAAGGCTTCAGGGGAGAACACCAGGCTCCCAATTCACAGTGAGCTGGCTGACCTTGACGTAGACTGTGATATCGTGAGGCATTCTCGCTGCTCTTGGACGTGTGCTTCTGCTTCTTCTTCCTTTTCCTTGGCTTGCTTGCTCGCTTGCTCGCTTTATTGTTGCTTCTGCTCTGGCTTGCTCGTCGGTGGTGGGTCGGATAAATGCAATGCAACCCAAACAGCACACAGCCGTGAGTGTCACACTCAGTGATGTGTGTGCAACTTCCTTCGCTCGCTTGCTTGCGGCTCTTGCTGTGCTTCTTGCAGTGTGTCATCAAATCACGGTTGCAGAAGCAACCCCCCAGCTGTTGCTCACGTCAGCAATTCCATCACTATCTTTCCCAGTGTCGTGTCGTATATTGCATTTGACGACAGCATAACTTTCGCGTAGCAACGAAAGCAGAAAGCATCGCGCCGCTGCCAACCACCACCACACAAGCAATAGTGCCACCACCACGACCAGCCTCGACAGCGCAGAGCGACGATGACCGAAGCAGTCCAGGCGGTTCAGGCCGCCATCGCCCTGCGCCGTGTTCGCGTCGATGAGCACTTCCGTGACTTTGACCCCCTCCGAGCCGGGCGCATCACCCCGTCCCAATTCCTCAGGTGTTGTGTTGCGTGCGGTGTTGCGTGTTTTGTTGCGTGTATTGTGTGCTTGAGATGTTGTGTGTGTGTGGTAAGGTGTGTTGTGTTGTGTTGTGTTGTGTTGTGTTGCGTGTTGTATGTGTGTGTGTGTGACATGGTGTGTGCGTTGCGTGTTGTATGTGTGTGTGTGGTTGGTGTTGTGCGCGCGCTCGTGTGTGTAGTCTTTGCTGCTCTCATTGTTGATACTTGCATGTGACGATTGCGTCCATGTGCTGACAACAAACCCACTTGGTTACACCACTACGCTGTACTGATTCATTCACACATTCGCGTAGCAACGAAAGCAGAAAGCATCGCGCCGCTGCCAAACCACACCACACAAGCAATAGTGCCACCACCACGACCAGCCTCGACAGCGCAGAGCGACGATGACCGAAGCAGTCCAGGCGGTTCAGGCCGCCATCGCCCTGCGCCGTGTTCGCGTCGATGAGCACTTCCGTGACTTTGACCCCTCCGAGCCGGGCGCATCACCCCGTCCCAATTCCTCAGGTGTTGTGTTGCGTGCGGTGTTGCGTGTTTTGTTGCGTGTATTGTGTGCTTGAGATGTTGTGTGTGTGTGGTAAGGTGTGTTGTGTTGTGTTGTGTTGTGTTGTGTTGCGTGTTGTATGTGTGTGTGTGTGACATGGTGTGTGCGTTGCGTGTTGTATGTGTGTGTGTGGTTGGTGTTGTGCGCGCGCTCGTGTGTGTAGTCTTTGCTGCTCTCATTGTTGATACTTGCATGTGACGATTGCGTCCATGTGCTGACAACAAACCCACTTGGTTACACCACTACGCTGTACTGATTCATTCACACACTCACACACGCACACACACACACACGCTCACCACCAACTCGCACTCACCACCAACTCGCACTCACCACCAACACATCCATCAACCAACACATGCACACTCAACACAACATCAGGTGCTTGGACCAAGTGGGCGTGCGCCTGAGCGAGGAGCAGCGGGAAACGCTGCTGAAGCAGTACGACACAGGCGACGGCCGCGTCAACTATCGCCAGTTTGTGCAGGACGTGTACAGCGCCTTCACCCGCACCAACCTGGAAAAGGCGCCTGCGGAGAAGCCGCCAACGCCCGACCGCGCCGAGACGTCGCTCATCGGCGCGGCCGCGCGCTTCGGATACGACGACCCGGAGATGGAGGATCTCTACTTTGAGCTGCGCGACATCATCCGCAAGCACTGCAAGACATACGGCATGTCCGTTCGCTCCGCGTTCCAGGAGTTTGACAAGGTCAACAGGGGCATCGTCACCCCAGCACAGTTTGAGCGCAACCTCCCCGCGCCCAAGGACATTGAGCCCTTCCACGTCAGGGTGAGCCCCACTGCCGTGCGTGCGTGTGTGTTGGGGGGGGGAGGGTTCTTGTGCGTGCATGTGTATGTGTGCATGTGTATGTGTGCATGTGCATGTGTATGTGCATGTGCATGTGTGTGTTTGGGTATGAATGTGACGGTGCGTGGGTTCTTGTGCACCTTGCACAGCTGCAGCTGCGTTGGTTTTGTATGAACCGCCTCCGTTTGCTGGTGTGCGTTTGTTGTGAGCATACATTCCACCATTGCTGTGCTGACACTGTCAACACCACTCTACCCTCCACACTGCGTTCCCTTCATGTGCCCGTCACCTGCCATAACCGGCTGCAGGTGATTGCCAACCGCTTTCTGCAGGACAACAATATGGTCAACTACCTCGCCTTCCATCGCGACGTGGAAGGCATTGGCCCCGAGCAGCCACTCGGGTACGGCCCACCACACACATCTATCGTGTCGCAGAACTCGTACACAACAGCAGGCGCAGTCATCTGCGTCTCAGCACACACACACACACACACACGCACACATACACACACACGCACACACGCACACAGCACACACACGCATATACATACACACATACATACATACACAGGGTTGCACACACCTGTCTCTCACCTCCTCCTCCTCCCCGCATCCTCGTCATCCACTTCAAACCCCCCCCCCACACACACACACACGACAGGTTCCGCAACACGCTGCGCAAGAGGGAGATGGAGGACGTGCCTGGTGCCGGCACCATCAGGGCGGCCAGCGCCGACGACGTGTTGCGAGAGCTGCAGGTTGCCTTTCACAAGACGCGCGTGCGCCCCGTGGAGTTTATGCGGGATTACGACAAGCTCAACTCGTCTTGCATCACGGCAAACCAGTTTGAGTGCGGCCTGAGCCTCGCCTGCTCCGCACCAGGTGCTGTTGTCGACGTGGTGGTGCATCGTGTGCCGTGGGTGTCGGTTGGACCATCGTGGGTGGCTGGATGTGTGGAAAGGGGGAGGGGGCACGTTGGCGTGGTGAAGCACGCCATTGCAACCCGTGTGACTGAGACACACACACACACACACACACACTCACTCACGAGGTGATCTTCAACACACACACACACACACACACACACACACACACACACACACACACACACACACACACACACACACACACACACACACACACAGGCGGGGTGCGGCTGACGCGGGAGCAGGTGAATGCGCTGGTGGAGCGGTTCAGAGCACCGGACGGGCGCGTCAACTACAGGCAGTTCTGCAAACAGGTTGACGAAGGTACGCACACACTCACACACACACACGGCAGACGGCGATTGTGATGTGCACAGTGGTGTCATTGTGTCACGCGAGTACTAGTTGTTCTTGTTTTGCTTCTTCTGATGTCTACACGCGCCTCGCCCCACCTCACCTCACTTCCTCCACTCGCCCATCGTCATCATTATCACCACCACCACCACCACCACCACCACCACCACGGCAGCATTTGTGACGGGCAAAGATGACGATCTTGTCCGGGACCCGCTTGCGTCTGTGCCGACGCGCACGCGAAAGGACATTGTGCGGGACGAGAACGAGCTGGCAGGGGAGGACGAGGAACGCGTGCAGCTGGTGCTCGCCGCCATCAAGCAGCACGTTGACGAGCGAAACCTCGACCTGTATCCCCAGTTCAGGGACTTTGACCGCCGCCACGGCTTCACCAAGGGCGTGACGCGCGCACAGTTCCGGCGGCTGCTCGACCTGACGCTGGGGCTGCCGTTGCAGGAGAGGGACGTGGAGTTGGTGTGCGACAAGTACACGAACGCAGCAACGGGACACGTCAACTACCACAAGTTCATCGCGGACGTAGACGAAGATTCGAACCTGAAGCCGCAGGAGCAACTGTACTTTGACAAGGCCAGCATCGCCAACTTCAAGACGATGAAGGATGTCGATGCAGAGCGAGAGGAACGCATGGCAGACCTCGACGAAGCCATTGCTATGCTCAAGCTCAGGTGAGACCACACGCCCTCATGCTCCTGGCTGCATGGACTTGTGCTGACAGTATCGTGCGCGTGATTGCATTTCCTTCTTCGTCTGTGATCGTGTGTTTGAACATTGTGTTCATGCACCACCACCATCAATTTTGCTTGTTGTCGAGCCACGTTCGTGCGCGACTGAAATGCATCTACAACAGCCATCCCTCACATCACCACCACCACCACCACCACCACCATCACCACCACCACCATGTTTGCTGTCACTGTCAGGGTTGTGGAGCGATCACTGCGTGCAGCGGAGTATCTGCGGGACTTTGATCGACTGCGCAAAGGCCTCATCACCGCCGCCCAGTTCAAGACGGGCGTCAAGGCAATGCACCCAGACATGTCAGAGGTGCGCCCCTCACATCGTGCTTGTGCTCGTGTGTGTCTATGTGTGTGTGTGTGTGCTTACTTGTCTCTATGTATGTGTGCATGTGTGTATTTGAACATGTGTTTGTACTGTTTGTTCGTACGCCCAAGCGTCAGCGTTCATGTGCTTACGCCTGAATCATGCGCATCTCCTCCTCCTCTCCCCAACTCCCCCCCCCAAACTAGGATCACCTGAATGCGTTGACTGCTGCGTACACGGACACGACGGCAGCACCGCCAGCAGTCATTGCCTGGCGCCGGTTTGCGTCGGATATGGACGACCTCCTGCTCCCCACCAGAAACCTCGAGAAGGCGCCAACCACGTGCGGTGACTGAAGTGGCGAGAAAGGATACAGAGGGGGAGGGGAGAGGAGGGGCAAGAGAGACAGATGGTTCACATGTAGCTTGTGCGACTTGTACGAATCAAGCACACGACAAGTGGGTACCCTCTCACGCTCACACGTTCACTCACGTTCACGACCGCAACAATTTGCCGCTGATGATGGGGTCTCATTCCGTGTGATTGTCTGTTCCGCTGTCTGTTCCGCTTTGCCAGGATGACGCGACCGGAGACAGAAGTTGTTCGGGAGGTGCAGGACGCCACGCAACAGACACCGCGCACAAAGGGTGTGTATTGCGTGGGAGGGTTGAAGAAGGGTGCATGTGCATGTATGTGTGCATGTGTTCATGTGTTCATGTGTTCATGTGTGCATGCGCTTGTGACAAGTTTGGGTGAGATGCGTTGCTCATATCCATATCTGTTGCTGCTGGCTTCATCAGGGTTTGATGAGCAGTCGCTGGATGAAGTTGACGAAGCAATGGAGTCCATCCGCTTCCAAGTCGCCAAACACGTACGTCAAACACACACACATGCGCACATGCGCACATGCTCGTGCATGCACACTTGCTCTCGTATCGCTAATCTGGTTGTGCGCGCGTGTGTGAATGGATGTGCAGAAGCTGCAGCCGAAGGACTACTTGAAGGATTTTGACCGGCACAACAAAGGCAAAGTAACGGAGCAGCAGTTTGCACAGGCGCTGGATATGGCCCGCATCGTCCTCACCCCGCGACAGGTGAAGAGCAATGCACGTGTTGATCCTGCCGTGACCGTTGTTCATCGTTGTCTGCTGTCTGACTCCAATATCGTGTGTTCTTTCTTTCTTTGTTTGCCGATTCTCTGTTATTGTGTCCTCACACACCCATCTCGCTCATGCTGTCACACCCCTCTCCACATTACGACTACAACGCGCCAGGTGCGGCTGCTGCAGCTGTACTTTGGACACGACGGGCTCGTCTCGTATCGCCTCTTCCTCAACGACCTTGCCCCAGCAGCTGCGCTCGCAAACCTCACACAGAACACTCTCCGCGGTGTCAAGGAGGTGCGTATGATAGCGAGTGTGTGTGCATGTGCCTGTGTGTGTGTGTAAGCGAGTGTGTGTGTGTGTGTGTGTGAGTATGTGCAGATGTCTCTGTGTGTTTGTGTGTTTGTGTTTAAGTGTGTGTGTAAGTGTGTGGCTACAGGGGAGTGAGGGAACACCATCACTGGCACCAGCCCCTGCCATCATGCCCTCTTCCACGTTCATCGTCGCCACCATCGCCATCATTGCGACTGCCAGGTTGAGACGCGGCGGAATCAGTTCCGGGACAAAGACGACGGCGCGGACCTGGAGGAGACAATGGAGAAAATCAAGCTCGCGGTATTGGCCTGTGCTTTTCGTGCCGCTGTTGGTGGTGATGATAGAGGAAGGGCGATGTAGTCTGTTGCAACACACAGAGAGAGAGACACACACAAGCACACACAAACACACACAAGCACACAAGCACACACACACACACACGCACATACGCACACGCACGCAGGTACAAAGGAAATGCCTGTCCCCTCGTCATGCCCCATTGCTCATGCCTTCCTCCCCCATTTCCACCAAATGCCTCACCAGGTTGCCCAGCGCCGTATCCGCATCATCGAACACATGCGCGGGTTTGACAAGTTGCGTAAGGGCCGCGTCACCGTGCGCGCGTTCCGCTCTGCGCTGTCCATGTGCGGGCTGGAGCTGACGCTGCCGGAGTACCGGGCACTTGAGAGCGAGTACGCGGTACCCGAGGTGCCGGAGCACGTGAACTACGTCAAGTTCTGCCGGGAGGTGGACGCCGTGTTTGGCGCCACAGACCTGCACCGGGAGCCGACGCTGGAGAGCCAGCAGTTCATCCCGCCAATGGACATTGAGGTGGAGGCGAACACACGCAAGATGGCGGGGGAGGAGAAGAACGTGGCGGAGGAGGTGCTGATGCACGTGGCGCGGATTGTGGACGAGAGGGGTGTGGCCATGAACGACGACTTCAAGGACTACGACCGCGTCAACAGGGGATCAGGTAAGGGATTATGATGTGATGTGATGTGGTGTGGTGTGGTGTGGTGTGGTGTGGTGTGGTGTGGTGTGGTGTGGTGTGGTGTGGTGTGGTGTGGTGTGTGGTGTGGTGTCATGTGTGGGCCAGGCGATGCCTCTGCTTGTCTCACACATGGCGTCTCACACTTTGCGTCTCCACAACACCGCCGCCACTGCAGTGACACGGTCCCAGTTCCAGCGAGTGTTGTCTGACCTACGCCTGACGGACGGCGTGAAGCAGTCGAGCGTGGATGCGCTCATGAACATGTTCCGGGTCCGCGTTGGTGGACAGGAGAACGTGCACTACCGCCGGTTCCTGACCCAGGTCGACGCCATCTGCGAAGACCTGCACCGCGCACCGGCCCAATGATGCCAACACGTCATGGGATGGCATGGGATATGGAATGAGGTGGGGTGGTGGGGATGGATGTGTCTGGCGCTTGTTTGTTGTCAAACACTCTTCTTCGTCTGTGTTGCACATCAGCAACCCCAGGCTGTACGTGAGTGCGAGGGGGTAGGCGTGCGTGTTTCATACGAGTGATTTTGTTCTTGCATCTTGCATCTTGCTTGCCAACTTGCTGTCTTTTCTCCTTTTCGCTTGCGTTGTTGTGCTGACATTCACTTGGTGGTTCGATTATATGTTAGCAATTCCACAACACACACCCACAGCGACAGCGACGCACGTGCGTGAAACCCTAGCACACATACACACACACACATACACGCGCGCGCACACACACACACACACACACGCACTCACAAGCATTCACACGCATACACAAGTGTGTGGAATCAAGCGGTGTCGTTTGCGCTGGATGACAATGTGGATGGTTGTGATTGATAGAAGTTGTGGGTGATGGCGTGTTGAATGCACTGCAGAATGATGTTTGTTTCCTGCCGGATTTCCGTGTCGAGCAGCTGACAAAGCAGAGGAGGCGATGGTGGCGATGGTGGCGATGGTGGCAGATGTGCGTGCGTGCGTGTGTGTGTGTTGTGAAATGGTGAGGTTGATCAGGGCAGCGGCGTGGGTGTGGTAGGAAGTCAAGGTGGCATTAAAAACACGCACGCACGCACACACACACACACATACACACGCACACACACACACACACGCACACACACACACACACACACACACACACACACACACACACACACACACACACACACACACACACACACACACACACACACACACACCATTCGCAGGAGGGTGGGTTTGTTGACTGTGGTCTGGATGAGGGATTTGCTCTTCTTTGGCGGCAGTGCATTATCATTGTCGTCAGCGTGGCGGCGGTGTTGGCGACGACTGCGCTCGTGACTGACAGCTCCTCCACCACCATCACCATCACCACCATGGCCACTGCTGTTATCGTCGTTGTTGTATTTCGGCGGGAGGGGCGGGGCCACATCGCTTCGGCACTCATCTGGGACAGCAGCGCCTGCAGTGAGGGGTTGAGGACCATCGGATGGGTCACGCGGAGTGGTATGAAAAGGTGATGTCATCAAAACAGGGTCAAACAGAGGAGAAAGGGGCAGAGAGAATGTGTGAGAATGTGTGAGAATGCGTGCGCATGTGTGAGAATGTGTGCGCATGTGTGAGTGAGAGAGACATGTGCATCCAAACACACAAGCACACTACACACCCACACCCGCACCCACACTCACACAGAGTCACAGTCACACGCATAGTCACAGTCACAGTCACAGTCACACACACTCTCTCACCCCCCCCACACACACACACAGAAGTGCAGTACCGTCTGCATCTGTGATGAGCGCGGCCGCGTCATATTGAATAGAGGCCACGAGCTGCGTCGCCGCCTCTTCCGGCAGCGGTGCAACACGCGGACCTGTCGACCGCCCAACGACTCGCCCTTTGCCCGCATATCTGCAATCATCGACACACCGGGCGCAGTGGTTTAGGGTGAGGATGAAGAGGATGGACGCTGAAGCGGTGAGCATGTGCACGTCATAAGTTGAACGAAGCAGCCGCAGTCGCAACAAGTATCGGGAAGAAGCAACACGAGCGGCAGTTTTAAGCATGTCATGACTGCACTGCATGCCCTGCACACGTGTTCGCACTTGAATTCGGTTGCGCGGGCCACATTCCCGCTCTGCTCCTTCTCCTGCTCCTGCTGCTGCTTGCGCTGCATGTTGGCATCCGTGGGGTAGTTTCTATTGCAGCAGTGTATGTGGCGAGAACAGATCAACGGGATTGGCTGCAGCATCGAGCAAGCGCTGACGAGCAGGTACAAAACAAAAAGCAAACGAAAATGTACATGTCCACACACACACACACACACACACACACACACACACACACACACACACACACACACACACATACACACACACACCAACAGCAGTGCTTACTTGCGTCGTGCTGCACGCCACTCCTCAATCTCCTTCGGGTCGTACTTCCACTGCTTCTTCCCGCCCCCACCGCCGCCATCGCGATTCACCGCGGCGGCTGCAAGCGCCTCCTCATCAACGTACGCTGCATCGCCACCATCCCCGTTCCCATCGTCGTCGCTGTTGTTGTCGTCATTGTCGTCAGAGCTTGAATCTGTGTCGCTGCCGCCAATTCCAAGGATGTTGGGAGCACTCTTCTTCTTCTCCTTGCGAGGCTTGACGCTGGTCAAGGCTGCACTGCTGCTGGAGGCACTTGTTGATGCGCTTGTCGACGCTTGCACAGCAGCTGCGGGCAACGTGTTGGTCGACGAGGCGATTTGGCCTTGTCGTTGGTCTCGCTTGCGCTGCTGCTGTTGCTTGCGACGAGGCTGATTTCTTCGTCGCTGGTTATTTGCTTGTCGCTGCTGCCCATGCTGCTGTTGGTAACGCTGCTGCTGCTGCTGTTGCTGCTGCTGCTGCTGCTGCTGCTGCTGCTGCTGCTGCTGTTGAAACTGTACCCCACCTGCTGTGGGCCACGCCTGAAAGGCCTGATGCTGCGGCGTCTGTTGCTGCGTCATCGGTTGTTGTGGCATCTGCTGTTGCTGCTGTAATTGCTGTGGCAAAGGCATGAGGCCAGGCTTTGCTGGTGTGGGCGGCGTCGGCATGAGCCCTTGTCGACCCGATGTCGAGGTTGTCATCGGCGCACCACTCATGGGTGTTGGAACAAACGCCGCAGCATATCCCATCGGCTGTGGTTGCGGTGGTTGCGATGGCACGAACGTTTGCGGTTGCTGTGGTTGTGATGACACAAACGGCTGCTGCTGCACCATCATGAACGGCTGCTGTGGTGGCTGCTGCAGCTGCTGCTGAGGTTGAAGAGGCTGACCAAACTGCAGTTGTTGGAATGATTGCTGTGGCTGTTGGAACATCCGCTGCTGTTGCTGTTGGAAGCACGGTTGTTGCAGATGATGATGCTGCTGCTGCTGGAGCTGGTGCTGTTGCTGCAGATGTTGACCACCGCCTCCCATCAACCCACCACCGCCCGTACCACCACCTCCCATCAACCCACCACCGCCACCACGCATCGCACCCCACATCGTGTTCGTCTTCTTCTTCGTCGCAGCGTGGGTGCAGAAAATTTGTGGTATTTTCCAACAATCGCCAAGACTTTCGTCGCGTCATCGCCGGTTGGTGTGAAAGCTGTTTGTGTTTGACCACGCATGGATGCGACAATGACTGCAGCGTTCTGTCAACATCACGCCTTGTTGCTTGCTTGCTTGCTTGCCAATTGAATGCCCTGCCCGTCACCAGCCTCCTGCATCTCTTTGACTGCCTTGTTCACTCGTGCTGCTTGAAATGGAATCTCACGTGGAACGTCATCACTGCAGAAATAAGTGGGAAACAACCCTCCAACCCACTTCACCGCTCACGCACACGAACATACAAGCACAAAATGGAAGAGGAGGAAGAGCATGCGCAAGCGGTGGCCGAGTTTCGGCGACTTCTCCCAGCGAGAACCGGCAGTGACAGTATACCACATTCGTCCAACATAGCCCCGCTCGACCGTACACAACTGCTCGCTCTCATGGCCAACAGCTCAACCCCTGTCACATTCACATGGAAAAAATCCGTACGTGGGTGTGCGTTTGTATGTATGTATGTATGTATGTATGTGTGTTTCTGTGCTCGTGTGTGTGCGTGCGTGCGTGCGTGTGTGTTTGTTTGTTTGTGTGTGTGTATACACATGGTTGTGTCTATAATGTGGAGCTGAATGTCATCTGTTGCCACCCTCGCGTGTGTGCACCTCTACACCTTTGCATGACTGCCTTTTGTTTTCACACATTACATGTGTGCACGTTGCGTTGCAGGTGCTGCAGCTGATGCACTACGCTTTTCTTGGTGTTGCCACGGCAAGGGATGGTGAGTCAGCACTGGAACCCATCGCATCGCAGCCTGAGATCAGTGTCGTCGCACAAATACATACACACACTCTCACTCACACACACACTCTCTCATGCACTCACTCGCTCGCTCGCTCTCTCACTCACTCTCACTCACACACTCACTCACTCACTCACTCACTCACACTCACACACTCACACACTCGCACATTTACTCTCACCTCCAACTTGCCTACGCTTGCATTTCATGCGATGGGTGTTAGATCTCGAGTTCTGCGGTGGTGGTCGCGGCTCTGGTGCAAAGGGAATGACATACAGTGACGATGACGCCAGTGATGCTGATAATGATGGTGCTGGGGACGCCAGTCGCGGTGCAAGAAGAAGGCCGAGTCGGGTGAGCAGGCGCGGGAGTGGCAGCGTTGGAGATGCCAGTGCCGTCAATGACATTGGAGGGCACGGTGATGGCGACGACGACGAAGACGATGCACACGTGCCCCTGTTTCGCCTTCCTCCTCCTGTACCCCCATCAGCGATTGATCCCATCCTCGAGGTGAGTGCGTGTGTCTTAGTGCGTGTGTGTTTCTGTCTCTGTGCATGCACGCGTGTGTTACTACTTGACGCACGCTCTCGCGGCTGTGTCACATCGTCCCCCCCCCTCTCTTGTCTTCCCCACACCACTCCATCCCACCGCCAGCTCGGGTCGTCGCTCGCGTCTGCCGGCGTGGCGATGCGGTCTGGCCTCTCCGCGGCCACGGGTGTCTTCGGCAGCCTCGTCCTCGGCGCAGGTCCGGCAACAGAAGCGGGGTTGTGTGTGTGTGTGTGTGTGTGTGTGTGTGTGTATGTGTGTGTGTGTGCGTGTGTGTGTGTGTGTGTGTGTGTGTGTGTGCGTGTGTGTGTGTCTGTGTGTGTGTGTGTGTGTGTGTGTGCGTGCGTGTGTGTCTGTGTGTGTGTGTGATTGATGAGGGGTTCCTTTGTGAAACTGAAGCTTATGTTGTCAACGCCATCACGATCACCATTTTGTAGGATCGACGTTTGGGCGAGCAGCAACGACGGCGGGCTCAACACTCGTCTCCACCATCAGATCAAACCTCGTGGGTGCACGCGGCGCTTGCACACACACACACACACATACACACATACACATACACACACATATCTCACACACACAAACGTACATGTGCGCATTGTCCTGCTCACTGCTGTTTGCTGTGTGCACATGTCATTCGTTCGCTGTTCAGGCGGCGCTGCATCGGTTACGCGAGCGGTCACAACAATCGCGCGCAGGGAACGAAGGTACGGGCAACAACTGTGATGGCGATGGTGATGAAGACGACAGCGATGATAGTGGTGAAGCATTGTGACCCCCGGTCATGGCATCACGTCGTGCCCGAAACGGGTGGTGTCACACAAATGCTCCTTGTTCTCACCCATCACATCATACCACCACCACCACCATCATCATCATCATCATCATCATCATCATCATCATCATCATCATCATCATCATCATCATCATCATGGTCGTCGTTGCCAACAGCGCTTGATCTGACGCCCGAGGAACAGGCCGTGCTGGATGCAAAGTTGGCGGAGATGGAGAAGGTGTTGGAGGAGGAACTGAAGCAACTGCAGGAGCAGGAAGTTGATATCTATGTACGCAACCATACGCAACGTCATTGTTGGCGCGATGATGCGATGCAGATGTGCTGCACGGCTGCGACACGTGCTTGGGCCCCTGTTCGTTTTCTCTCCTTATTCACCCCTGCCTCTAATTCCAACCACCACCACCACCACCATCACTGCCTGGTGCGCAGGTAGAGAAGTTCACGGAGGCGATGGAGATGTCGCGCAAGTTGGCTGAGATGGAACGCGTCATGCAGCAGAAGAATGAGGAAATTCTGCTCCAGCGCGAAATTGTTGCGCTGGAGATGGAGGAGAATCGACTCAACCCGGAGCCCGACGACTCGCGTGCCGAGCTCTCAGGTGCGCTCTCACGATGGTCGCGGTCATGCTCGTGGTGGATTGCTGGCGTGTGGAAGAGTAGGGGGGGGGGGGTTCTTGGGGTGTGTGTGTGTGTGTGTGTGTGCGTTCCTTGCATGGCAGCGTACTCACAACTCCTGGAATGACGTGTCATTGCGTGTACAGTGATCTTCCGCCGCGCCTGGACCTTGGCCAGTTCTTGTCCTCGTGAACGAACGAACACACACACACACACACACACACACACACACACACACACTGCACACTACACGACACGACACAAACACCACATAAGAACGTCTGTGTACATATGAGCATACCCCGAGTTACCTCCAATACTTTTTGCAGTAAACGCTAGACATGATGAAAGCTCTCGTACAGTTCAAATGGAATGGAGCGTAGTGCTGGAACACGTTTTGTTGGAACGTGCCGTTGAAAACAGTTTGGTTCTGTTTAATAAGTGTTCTGAAACAGCACAATGAAACGGCTATCTATCACTACACGCTATAAGTACACATGCACTTGTAACACAATGGCCATATTGGAGTGTTGGTGCCATCGCGTCGTGGAGGCGAGTTGCGTTGGTGTTGGTGGTCCTTGCTGCACGTCACTGTTACGTATCATGCACACAATCGAGAGTGAGGCAACATCATATCCCGCGTCGCAGGCAAGCACACACATTCACACATACAAGACACATGAACACACATAAACACACGCACATGCACACACACACATGAACACACCTGCACACCTTCACACACACATAAACACACGCATATGCACACACACATGAACACACCTGCAGCTTCTTTGGCTGGAGTGCAATGTCGAGGGCGTGTGCCCTTTGTTTGTTTGGGCAGAAGAGTTCTTTGATTGCGTAATGGATGGTGATTGCGACGAGAACAAAGGCCACCACGCCCGCCGTCATCAACCACGCGGGATCAGCCGCCGTCAGCGGTGGGATGTCGTCCCAATACTGACGCGAATGGAGGGTGAGTGGAGGGAGGGTGGTTGGGGTGAGTGAAAGCGTGTGTAAGTGTGTGCATGTGTGTGCATGTGTGTGCATGTGTGTGCATGTGTGTGCATGTGTGTGCATGTGTGTGCATGTGTGTGCATGTGTGCATGTGGAAAGGGGGGAGGAGAACCAATGTGCACATGCACATGTGTGTGTGTGCGCGCGAACCTTGTATGCGATGAGATCTTCGGTGATGAGGATGAGCCCGACCATCGAGACCTGCTGGCCCATCTTCTTGCACGTCCTGCAGCAATCACAGCCACGCACACAGGTACGAAGGAGATATCAGACAAAGGCGCAGGCACGGAAATGACAACTCAACCACAGTCAAACAACAGCACAACATCACACACTCACACACACTCACACATACAGACACACAAAACACACACACACACACTCACCTACCCACAGACACACACACACGGTCCACAGTCCAGAGCGGGCCACGTACGGGTCTGTGATGTACGCGTTGAGTTCTGCGACGGCAACGGGGGCGGCGCACCCCGCGAACAGCAGCCGGTACACGTTGAAGCTGTCACGATGGTGAAATGTGGTGACGTGAGGGGTTGTGAGGTGAGGTCAACAAGGATCATGTCAGTCAGCGGCGCACTTATGTGCGATGTGTGTGTGTGTATGTGTGTGTGTTTGTCTTTTCGTGTGTGTGCATTAACGGTGGTGATTTGCACACCTGTGGTCAGCAGGGATCCAGAGCGTGGACTTGAGATAAAACGCGTTGAGATCCGAACAGAGCATCTGGTGATCAGAACGCATGAACGAGGGAGGAAGTGAGTTGTGGGGACGTGGTACAATGAACACAACACGCACACACACACATGCACACACATGCACACACATGCAAACACACACATGCACACACATGCACACACACACATGCAAACACACACATGCACACATGCAAACACACACACGCACACATGCAAACACACACACACGCACACATGCACACATGCACACATGTACAGACACGCAAAACAAAGCACAAACGCAACAAACACGACCACTTGTATGCAACGTGTTCCCACCATCCAGATTGCAAAGAGCGTGACGAGCCAGTGCTTGAGGTCGCGGTACGGGCCCCACTGGAAATTCGTCCATGCGTACGGCGAAAACTGCGCAATTGCGCGCATCAGCTTGCCCCTGGTGACGACGACGAGGTGATAGTGGTGGTGTTGGGGATGGTGAGTGTTGGTGGTGGTGGTGGTGGTGGTGGTGGTGGTGGTGGTGGTGGTGGTGTGGTGGTGGTGCCGTGAAAGGGAACATGCAAGCTTTGGGCGGCGCATTGCATGCGCACTTAAATCACAGCGGCTCACAAACAAACACAGCAACACCGCTTCCCACACCTTGCAGTCGGGATCTTGTTGATGCCGCGCCAGCGGTACTCCTTCATCTCGAGATAGCGGCAGAGCAGCAGCCCAACCGCAATCCCGCCCCCGTTGCACACGATAAAGTCCAGCACCCACTGCACACACACACACACACACACACACACACACACACACACAATGGTAGCGTGAGTTGAGGGAACCTCAAAAAAGTACACACACGCACACACACACACACACAAGCATCAGCATGTACACATGAACAACGCCGTCACACAGGGACACCATGTCAACAAGAAGAAAGGCATGTGGTGTTGCTGAAACTCACGTGGTCCCACCAGCACTCGCCAAAGTTTGGCAGCTGAAACTCAAGCATGTACTCAAACAGCTCAAATGCAAAACTGCACACCTGTCGTGGTGATGAGGTGACGGGGGATGAGGTGACAGCGCACGGAACAGGCACAAACTCACTCATGGCAGTGTTTCACGACAGCCTTTGTCTGCCCAACACAAACAACTACAGTACGCCACGTATTTACAATCTCACACATCCACCACCACCACCATCACCACACAAACTCCACAACAAAGCAAACTGCTCACACCCTCACACGCTGTTACCATCACTTGGACCACGTACCAGGAGAATCTTGAGGTTCCTGAAGGCGAGTGCCTTGACAACCCACCCCAATGCGTGCGCAATCACAAAACGATCCATCTTTTGGAGAAAGTTTGCGTAAGGGTTTCCGGATGGATGGTCCGGAACATAAATACGACAGTCGTCAGCATACGTCTGCTCAGGCAACTTCTGGCCTGCAGTGTTGAACGCACGGTGTAGTGGCGTCGGTGGTGGTGGTGATGATGATGATGATGATGATGATGGTGGTGGTGGTGGTGGTGGTGGTGGTGGTGGTGGTGGAAGAAGGCGAGGTAGGGTGAGGGGTCACGTTGGTGATTATTGCACGGGGCACGGCCGTGATCTGGTCCTGCACAAGCCCACAAACGGCAGCGGCCGTGCATGTGTCGTTGATCAGTCTGAGTCCATCCCCATCCACACACGCCCACACCACCATGACGCCCCACCGAGATTTGGGTCGAGGAACTTGAGCGCCCGGCGGCCGTCCTCTGGTTTCTGCAGCGAAGCGTGTGCACACACACACACACATATGCAGTGAGAAGGCAAGGAGTGGTGGCGGCAGTGTGTGTGTGTGTGTATATGTGTGAGTGAATGAGTAAGTGAGTGGGTGAGTGTGTGAGTGTGTATGTGTTTGTGTGTTTGTGTGTTTGTGTGAGTGAGTGTGTGTGTGTGTGTGTGAGTGCGTGCATTTGCTCCGTATGGACAAGGAGCAGTACTTCGATTCGCTGCCGGTTACCTGGAAGAGGATGAAGAGGAGCCCCATCTCATAGAGGACAGATGCGCCCAACACCAGCCGCCACACAACTGCACACAATCACGATAACACGGGAGAGGTGGCGTGGTGGTTCAACGTGAGGAACAACCAACACATGACTCTGAAAACATATTGCATACATCTGAGCACAGGTTCAAACACACACACACACACACACACACACACACACACACACACACACACACACACACACACACACACACGCACACACGCGTACACACACACACACACGCACACACACACACCGCACAGGCTGATCAATGAGCACGGCACCATGCGTGTGTGAGCACACGACGCAGCATGTCACGCTTCTGACCAGGATGCGGGCGGATGAACGGGCCATCGTTGAACTGCATGGCAGCCTGCACCAGAAAGACGCCACAAGCAACAGCAACACCACTGCACGCACAGAGGGGGCGAGGGTCGGGCGTGAGTACATGCTACGCTCTTACTGCCAATCCAAGCCGATCGATCATACAAGGAAAAGAGCATTCATAGCCACACACACGCATGCATACACACGCACGCACGCACGCACGCACGCACGCACGCACGCACACACATATTGTCTCTCTGTTCTCACCGCTGTGCATTGATGGACGAGTCCTCGTCATCGAGGAAGAGAGCCATGTAGACGACAGCACACACGACCAGCGTCAGCACCGTCACAACATGGGGGCGCCTGTCATGGGCACAATGCAGGTTGTGTGTCGAGTCAGCGTCACAGGAGAGTGGTAGCTCTGTTTCATGCTGTTTGTCACGCACATGCACATCCACACTCCCACGCGCTCAGTTTCACCACGTGACAACATACCAGAACCAAGACTGCGAGCCATCATCCTCAAAGTTTGTGTTGTGGATTTTGAAGCGGTAGGGTCCCTGTCACAGAGAGAGAGTGTGTGTGTGTATGCGTGTGTGCGTGTGTGCGTGCGTAAGTGTGTGTGAGTGAGTGGGAGAGACGTACACACACACATGCACGCACACACACACACACGCACACACACACACACACACACGCACACGCACACGCACACACACACGCACACGAGCAACCTGGTGAGAATGTTTCTGCGCCCAGCCACCTCACCCCCCGCCATCAGCCAGGACTCATACCTGGGACACAAAGGCCGTTGCCGTTGCATCGTTCAGGCTGACAGCCCGTTGGCGCGGCTGTCGCGGCTGCCTCTTCCGCTCGTCCGCGGTTGCAGCAACCATGTTGTTGTTGTTGTTCGCTGCAGGTGCGAGTGGCGCGCTGTCGTCGTCGCTGTTGCTAGCTTCGCCAGTTTCACTCCCTTCTATGACTCTCTGTGCGCTTGTTTGCTTGCTCGCTCGCTTGCTCGCTTGTTGATTGATTTGAGAGTGTGCACGTCCCACAACAACAGCAACACCAACACCAACACACCGCAACACCAACCGCGCACCCACGTGTTTCGTTTGTGTTTCGTGAGCTGCGTGTCCTTGTTGCGCGTTGCTGCCTCTTGCCCAGCAAGTATTGTAGATAATTGGCTTATATCTTCAACAATAATTCCACATCCACCCTCGTGTGCGACAACGCTGCTTACACAGCTCGGCATTTTCACACAGCAATCAACACACAAGACGTGTAACCACCACCAGCCAGCATCCACATATCCCACACCACCATCACCACCTCAAACGCCAAGCACCAGCCATGGTTCTGGACATCACCAGCTTCCGCGAACAGGAGGACCCTGACGTCCTCGGCCCTGATGGTGCGACACGCTCATGCGTTTTTTCTCTGTGCGTGTGTGTGTGTGTGTGTGTGTTTGTTTGTGGCTGTTGATAATGTGTGTATGTGGCTGTACCTCATCACTCACTCACACACACACACACACACACACCCGCAAGCACCCTCTCACCCTCACACACTCACACACACTCACGCACTCACACACATTCACGCAGGCGTGCGCGAGATTCAGCGCAAGCGCTTCAAGGATGTGAAAGTCGTGGACACCATCATCGCCATCGATGAGCAGTGGCGTCAATGTATGTGGTTGATGGATGGGATTTGCAAATTGCTGGCATGCTGCACGCACTTGCGCGTGTGTGAGGGCGGTTGCACAGGATGCTTGCTTTGACGAGTGTTCCTGTTGCTTTCTTGCATTTCTCAGGCACGTTTGTCACTGACAAGCTCAACGCGGCCAAGAATGTCTGCTCCAACACCATTCGCGACAAGATGAAGGTGCGTCCAGCTCGGGAACATACGCGATTCCTTGCTGCGGTGTTTGTTGTGTGACGCAGCCCTGCTCTGCTGTGCGTGTGTCTGCGCAAGGTTTCCCTCGTAGCACGGCGGTGCCCCTTTACGGTGTGCGCTGCTTCCTCATCAACCACACATCTTCATCAACACCACCATCTGCAACATATGGTGGCGTATTCAGGCCAAGGAGGGCCAGGGCGACACGGACGAGATCCCGCAGAGCATCCACGACCTCATCAAGCAGCTCACCACCAACAAGGCCTCCCTCGACGATGTCAAGGCGGCGCTCGCGGTGAGTCCAGTTACGGTCGTCCCCCAAATCCCATGTGTACCAGCCGCCACACTTTCCACTTTGGCATTCCACCTCTTTCCCTTCTCACACACATACATACACACATACACACACACACATGCGCACCATTACACTTTCGCGATATGCACCACCACGTCCGCAGGAGCTGTGTGTGAAGCAGGTGAAGAACCTCAGCAGCCACATCGACGTCCTCAAGGCCGACAACAAGAAGTAAACGCCTTCGCTGTGTGTATGTATGCTTGAACAGTGCGCGGATGCAAACATCCATTATGCGTCATGAAAGACTGCCACGTGATCTCACTCTGTGTGTGTGTGTGTGTGGTTTGACCTTTCGTCTCGCAGGGCGATGGAAAAGCACGATGCTGACCGACAGGAGCTGCTTCGCTCTGTCGGCAACGAGCTGCACGAGTCTGTTCCCGTCCACAGCGACGAGGAGCACAACGCAATTGTCCGCACCGTCGGCAAGGCTGCCCGCGAGCACTCGAGGTCCGCACACGTGCTCATGTATTGGGCGTGAGTGTGTGTGTGTGTGTGTGTGTGAGTGTGCGTGCGTGCGTGTGTGTGTGTGTGTGTGTGTGTGTGCGCGTGTGCATATGTGTACATGTTCTCGTTGTGTTCCCCCCTTGCGGTGTGTTGACCGTGCTCGTCTCCCCCCTCTCCTCCCCCACGCCTCCCAATTACAGGAAGAAGTACTCGCACGTTGATCTGATTGTGATGATTGACGGCGTTGATTCTGAGCGTGGCGTCAACGCTGCCGGCGGCAGGGTGAGAAGCCACACACACACACACACACACACACACACACACACACACACACACACACACATGCACACGCACGCACTTGTGCGAACACACTCTCATGAACACACACACGCACACAAAGCGCGCGCGTGTGTGCCCTTCCATGCTTCCATCCCGTGTGACCCCTGGTGTGACCCCCTCCTGCTCGCCAAACAATATCCTGGTTGCAGTGCTACTACCTGCGCGGGCCGGGCGTGTGCCTGGAGATGGCGCTGGTGTCGTACGCGCTGCAGTTTCTCATGGCCCGCAAGTTCACCGCACTCTCCCCGCCCCTCTTCATGCGCAAGGACGCAATGCAGAAGGTAACCACCCCCATGTGCTTGCAGGCATGCATCTGTGCATATCATGCGTTCATGCACACGGCTGCAGGCTCTTGTTCGAGTACGTGCTGTGATGAGCAACCCTTTCCCCTCTCCTTTGCGGTCTCACCATCGCATGACCACCGTGCGTTGCGTTCATCTCCTCAGGTGGCGCAGCTGAGCCAGTTTGACGAGGAGCTGTACAAGGTGACGGGCAAGGCCTCTGAGATCCAGGGCGACACCGCTGTTGAGGAGAAGTACCTCATTGCCACCGCCGAGCAGCCCATCGCCGCCTACCACCAGGAGGAAACAATCGTCCCAAAGGTAGGCGCCACACCAACGCTTTGCTGTGCTTTGTTTGTTTGTTTGTTT